AATGAAAAACAATTATTCTTATAACATGATAGAGATTCTGGTAGCTTTCCTGATGGCTACCCTCCCTAGTTCCTCTGCTTTTTTTGCTGTTTGCCTCTTTTGTTAGTGTCACAAGTGGGTTAAGACTGTTATAATTAATTTAACCAATAATTAAGCCCTTCAACTTATTTCCAGTAATATGACAGCCAGCTACCACCCGAGCTACTCATGGCAGGCGTGCCATGGCTTAGCCACTCTTTGCTTAGTGTGTGTAAAACTCATCCAAAGAAGGAGGGGAAAACCCACATGTACAGGTGCATAATGTAGTGATTAATATGTGTTAAAGAGCAGCTAATAAACATTAAAGTATAACTGGGAGCACTTCTTAGTCATTTCCTATGTATTCAACACCCCCATTGCAGTAAGGCTAAGAGGCACACACTCTTTGCCCTGTTCAAGCCTTTTTCATGTCTCTAAAATGGTTACATTTTTAGTTCTAGTTGTTTCTCCTTCCCCTGTAATCAGGGTTGTCCTTTCCTTCCCACCTCATCTAATCCTCTCTGACATTAGTGAAATTCAGCAGCTACAACCCAGCAGAATGGAATGTCAACAACAATGAGGTGATGTCATCTTGGCACTGCAGTGGGGGCGAGCGTGAAGACAGGGAGCTTCAGCCCCAAACATTAAGGCGGTGTTCCAGTTCTCACTGCATTCAGCCCAAATTTTCCAATGCTATCTTACTGAACAGGACATGCAAGCACAATGGCACCTACCTACAGCCTTGAGAGTTGCATACTTGGCATAATCTGAAGCCTGGTTAGGCAAAACGCTTGTCATTTGCAGCTGATTGTTGTGTGAGTGTGAAAGCCCAATCTGTGAAACTGTGGAGGAGTTGGCCATAGCATTGTTCAGGTGGTTCTGGTCTGAAGGTAAAAAAGGATGGCAAGTGTAAACTTAAATAGCCCACCTTAAGTAGTTTATATTACATTCGCCAGTCCCTCAAGCACATAATACTCATCTGCTCCCCCCTTAGTTATATCATGGTCAGAGGTGATGGGCAGGGCAATGGGAGGATATAAGAAATTGGCATTTAAATACCATGGGCAAATGAGAAAGGAAGAGACAGCTCTGCCCAACAGAGAACTGAGTAACAATAATAAGCATGCCAAAGAAACAGTAGCATACCATCCCTTTTTGTACAGTGTAAATAAGAAGACACACCCCTCCCACTTATTAGCAAGACAGAGCTTTTAAGCATATATTATTTGGACAAATTGGATCTTTGGCTACAGACTGTTTCATGCTGGCAGATATAGTCACCTATGGATGCATGGGGACTGACTTTGTTCCCCATTCCTATGATAATAGCCTGCATGTGTCTGCAGAAAAGACCCACCTTCTCCTGCTCCAAAATGTCAGAAATGGAATGATTAAGGGACACAACTACTGCCAGGTCTTCCTAACAAACACTCCTTGACAAGTACTTCTAAAGTGTATTCATTTACTCATGGATATACTGACCATAGCAAAAAGGCCAACAGGTGTAGTACAACTAATGTATTATGGATGAACTATAAAAGCTTCTGCTTTTTTGTTTTGATATGTTGAGGTGGCAATTTTCAGAATTCCAAGTCAGTGTGGTTTTGTTGTCTGGGAGTTTCAGGTGTTACAACCTCAACATATCTGGAGGCTGCCAAGTTGGAGAAGGTTGTCATATACCATTTAAAGAGAAAAAGAAAAGAAAAGAAAAAAGTTAAAAGTTCTGCAAAGTTCCATTTGCCAGCTTGGTACAGTGAGGTGGAAGGAAGGGAGAGCATGGAATAAGCATAGGGATGGCAGTCCCTTTTCAGACTGCCTATTCTCTAGAACAGATGCTACATGCTAATCTTTGGGTGTTCTTTCCTCTATCCCAGTTATTTATAAAATGGCATCTCTTCTAACTCTTATGGCAGATAAATAATCTCTGCAATTCTAAGTCTCTCTTTTGTTTTTAGCATAGATATGGGTGCGTGCATGTGTGAATGCATGGAGGTGGGGAGACAGATTATCTTACCTTTGCTACTTGTGGGAGATCCCCGAGAAAGACTGTCACCGATCTGGACCTGCACACTGCTGATATGGCCATCAGGCAAGTGATCAGATGAGCTGTGACTAGGCTGCTTTAGGAGATCTGTGAGTGTTCTAGAAAAGGTGCATGAAGAAGTTATTTGACAACAATCGCAAAAAAAGATTCTCACTTATTGATATCTGCTTTTTGCTGCTCATTTGTTTACTTGGGCACCCAGGAAATATTTGGTATGGATGGTATATTTTCTTAGCACTTGAAACTACATTAGGAATGTTCTAGGAGGCTTTTAAGCAGAACATAGATGACCGCCAAGCAGAGTTCCTACATTGGCAGAAAAACTTATTTTAATGTATGCATTGGTTTTCCTTTAGGGAGCTCAAAAGAAAGACCATGGGGTCACCCATTATTTTTATCGTGACAATAATGATATTGTGAAGTAGCCTGGGATGGTAACTGCTGAGTGCTGCTGAAGGGTTATCTTCTTTATCCTTATCAGAAAGGATGGGAGGAGAAAGACTCCAAGGAAAACCCACTCTCTCTTAGGACATTTGGCTGTTGGAAGTGGTTAGTGGAATATATAAACATAAAATTCATTTCTGTCTTATCAAAGGAATTATAGAAAGAGATGTGCCAGATTTTTATTTTTTATTCAAAGTGTTTCGTTTCCACTATAGCTACATATTTGTATTATCATTTTTCCCAAATGTTGCCCTTGGATGAAAATCAATACAAAATAAAATAACATACATGAACTTTGAATGCTTATTGAAAGCTAATGCCTTGAGGGCCATGTCACTGCCAAGGCCCAGCCATGAGATTTTCTATTGTGATCTGATATCTGAGAGTAAAAACATGAAAATAAATACTATATGTGGTCTGCAAAAATCCAGTTGACCACTAGGTAAAGAGTAAAAGTAAAGAGATATAGAAAATGCTACTTGGCTCCATCTGATAGTTGTGGTTTTTAACACCCATATATGATAAGCATAATTTCCCCTTTGGATGGGGAGGAAGGACCTATTTCCCATTTTAAAAGATAGCAGTAACCTACTTGTAAAGAATTAACTTTGGAACCAAGAGGCATCTCTGGGAACACATTGCTGAAAAATGGTGGGGAAAAGGGATTGGCTGTGTCAGAAAGCTAAGAGGAGGGGCTGGAGGATATGAGCCAGAAATATATGCTTCATCACAACACAATAGCTGTGAATTATGTGACAGATCTAGATCTAGATCTCCCCAGTCACAACCCAATACAGTATTACAAAATCTGGTCTACATTCTACTCCATGGATAGATTCACACAGCAATGAACTCAGGTTTGTGTAACAGTAGTTTGATGAACAAGCCACAATTTACTGGGTTCATACAATATACTGAGCCATAAAACTTGCTTTACAAACAGCGATAGCTAGTTCCTGCAGTGGGTTAACCCAACTCAAACCAATCATGTTATAATGGCATACTTTGGTGCTGAACAATGTTATTCTTTTGTCAGATAAAGTCCAGCACAGTACTGCATAATTTTCAGGGGCCCTTAGGAAATGAGCTACAGAACAGCCTCGCAAGAAAACGGTGACAATTCGCAAGAGATGGTTTGAGAGAGGAATAAGATAAACTATTGAACACATATAGGAGAAAATTCTGTATTGGAAAGATATCAAATTGTCTTAAAAAGATCTGTCTTGGATTCTCATTTCACGTTCCCTTCTATGACTTCAGGTTTTTAATAGGTGCTAATTTGTAGTCACTAGGAGTTGAACTCCACATTTTAATCAATGTTGATACAGTGTTAGGCTACAACTGGAAGGACAGAAGTTCAAACCTCTTTTCTGCCATGAAGAGCTCTTCAAGGCAGTCACTAACTCTTGACCTCCTCTCTCTTTCCTCATAACATTGTTGGGAGCAAACATGAGAGTCTGTACATCCTGTTGGGCTCCCAGGAACAACCAAGCAGGGGGCATAAATGTAATAAACAATATTAAATTGAATCAGTCTGTGACTCACATTGCTTTCTTTCAACTGGCAAGGACCTCTGTTCCTGTGATAAATGAGAATTGTTTGTTTCACAGTGGGGGAAGCTCTGACTGTTTGTTTCCTGGCAACATTTCAAAATTCCCAAGGTAGAATCTTAGGGACTACAGAGGGCATCTTCTCCATTCCTGGGTTCAAGACAGGGCCCTTGCAGCTGCAGCATCCCTGATGGGTGACCACCCAGCCTCTACAGAAATACCATAGCAGAGCATATCTTATCTTCTCATACCCATCTGTACTTTTGGCTACTTGGTAAGCTTAGCTTGTCACTAACCACATGCTAGCCAAGAATTGATTGCATTTGGCCAACACTTAATCTGGCTACTGAATTAATCCATTTTCTATGTTCACACTGTACTGAACCATAAACAAAGTAAATGGCCTGGGTACACATGACATGCTAAGCCATATAAACCAACCAACCAACCCCCTAAGGTTAAAAATAATCACTTTACTCATTGTGTAAACTATGCATTTAACTGTCCTAGTTCAAACATGTGTAAAAACAGACCTTCTGAGACAAAACTAATATATCCATCCTACATTTGCTAATGCAAGTGGATCATTTTCATGCAGATAAAGGAGACCAATGTAACTGGCAACTCTTCCCCACTCTCAAATTCTTTCCTGTGGATTCCTTGTACTAACTACAACATAGACTTTTCCCAGCAGCAGACCTCAGAGTCCAGCTCTACTGAATTGAAAACAGCTCTCTCTTTCTCTTGTTTATTGCATGCACATGTGGTGAAGTACACTATGATTCCCCTAACACCCAGATTTCTTTTTTAGGAAGTCTGTATAGTATTATTTTTTCTAAGAAATAGCTGAAGTCACCCTACAAGGGCACATCAAAGGATTCATAAAAAGGTGGTACAGATGTACAGGTCTGTAAGTCTGTACTAGGCTTACAGACCAGCTTAGGAATCACAAGCAATCTCATACATGTAGATGTTTGGGCATCTGCAAAAGAGCTTACTATAATGAGTTATCACATACTGATTAAACAACTTATTTATGAGCTCCCAAAAAATGATCCACTGCAGAGGGTCAAACAGTCATGAGTAATCCTTCAAACCAAAAACTGGTGTTGGCATCCTAGGGTTGGCTAATAAGCCTGTGAAAGCAAGCCAGTGCATGAACAGTCAAGGCCCTGTGGCAAAAAAGTTGTTACAATCCATGTAAATCAGTAAACTTGTAAATCAGGCTAAAGAAGGGACCCAGGATGTTAAGTTAGAAAGCAAGATAGTTAAGGGAAACCAAGGAATCACTCAATCCCTCAGAGTGTGTAACCTGTCCCCTTTCAGGGACAGTATTTTCCACACCAACATTCTTGCTTAGTTAATTTTGTTGATAGGCAGGCACAGATTTTCTTCGTTTGGTATGTGCACACATACACTGCCTCTAGTTTTCCTACTTATTTAAATATATTTTTCTTACACACCCACATAGATATGATGCATCTGTGCACACATCCAAAGAGGAAATCTCTCTCTTCCAGGGAAAAAAAACTAGAGCTCCCTGAGCCCCATGGCAAATTTCTCAGACAGGGAACCTTACGTCTCTAGAGCTAGAGGCAGCAGACCTGTCCTGGTGCCTGGGTTTGGACAGAAAAGTCGGTCTCAAGGAGGAACAGCAATGGCAGCAGCTCAAGGACCAACCCCCCCCCCCGGGGGAGAAGAGGTGCTAGCAGGTTGTGTCAGTTCTGGGGTCAGCAGATTGGGCTACAAGAATCTGGATGGCCACCAGACAGCAACAAGGAGTTTTCTATAGGTCTTTACTGCTCTAGTGGTTGCTCTTCTCAGTATGTGCTGAGGCTGCACACTTGCCTGCAGCCTTCTTCCACTTGCCAGCCCACCCAACCCATCATGTCGCCCTGGGCAAGTGCCTTGGTTCCTGTATGGGCCACACTAACCCTGCAGCAGATCATGACCATATCTGGCTTTTTTTTTTTTTAAGACTGAAGGCACAGCTGGCCCCAAGGCAGCAACAAGACCTGCCTTGACTGTATTAAAGCTATTGCCCTCTGCTGAGCTAAGCAGCAAAATTGATACGAAAAACATAGTGACTCTTTGGTATGAAATAGGTGTAGGCTCCTGGACTTGTGTTTTTTGTCTTTCTCTTTTGACCCATGGGAGTTGAGGGGGAAGCTGCTTCTGGGATTTTGGGGAGAAGACTCACTAACTGACAAGGGTTTAATGCTTGGGCATTTGTTGTGCTGAGCTAGACTTGAACTGAAAGGCACTCCTATTTTAATGAGGTTTGCTCATCTCTTAAACTTGTGAACTGATCTAAACTGGCACAGGGGAGGAAAGGTTTGTATCATCTCTGTCTAGCTCAGAAATAAAGCTAGAAGAAATTCTGTGGGGATAACAGACTGTCCATCAAAGAAACAGTAAATATCTAACAGCAGAAGATGACATTGCCTTCAGCAGGTCTTCTTTGCCTGCATGGTTAGAGCTGAAACTGGTCACAGACCTTTCATGAATCACTGCCAGATGAGTGGAGGGCTGTTGGCAAGCAAGGGTACAATGAAGGGCATAATCAGTACTGGCACAGAGTAGCAGTTTATAGACTAGGGCTTCACACTGACTTTTGAATTATTAGGTTGAGAGAGTGCTCTGCTAGGGTTGAGGAGAAGAGATCAGAAAAAATATCATTGAATTCAGAGGTATGAGTCACATTTAAAAGTCATATGACTGTTCTGATTTAGGGAGGAAGTGAATCGAGAGAATGACATTTCCTATCAGAGTTAGAGAACATGATGCCCTTATGATGTTGTTGGATTCCAAATCCTATCTGCCCTGGATAACAACACAGCATAATGAGAACTGTAGTCTACCTGTATCTAGAGGGCCATTGATTCCTGAATCTGTGCTTTCAGGAAAAAGCTTTAATGGAAGCCCAACCCACATTCTCCTCATTTATCTAAAACACTGGATCAAACTACTTTCCTTTGTCTGTCTGTTCCTATGTTTTCTGAATCCATTTTTTTGCAGTTGGAGAGGATAGTTGTTATTATATTCCTTTTATTTCACAGAATTCCCTAAACATGGTGCCTCTCCAACAACATGGCACCTTGCAC